AAAAAAGTAACATTTACATGCTCAGGGATGGTAGTGTATTATTCAGCACTCTACAATAGCTAAAACAATTTTGAAAAAGGACAATAGTGGGATGAATCAGTCTACCCAACTGCAAGAATTATTTTATAGCTAGAGTAATCAAAGATGTTGGTCTTAGAGGAAGGACAAATAAATAAATGAAATAGAATCAAGGACACAAAAATAATTTCATGCAAATACGGCCATTTGATTTTTTACAGAGGCATTAAAAGCAATTTATTGAACAAAAGCTACTTTTCAACAAACGATATTATAGTAAGATATCCATAGAAAAAGAAGAAAGGAATCTTTATGTAATCTCACAGCAGATACAAAAGTTAAACTCAAAATGGATAACAGATTTAAATGTAAACTGCAAAGCTATTAACTTTTTTAGAAAAATATGAGGTAGTATTTAGGATTTCACCTACTGTGATCATTAGTTTTGTATATCAGCTTGGCTGGGCCAGAGAGTTGTTGGAACACTATTACTGATGTTTCTGTGAGGTTGTTTTGGGGTGTGATTAAGATCTAAATCAGTGAACTTTTGAGTAAATCAGACCACTCCCCTCAATGTGGGTGCACCTCAACCAATCAACTGAAGAACAGAGTAGAACAAAAGACTGACCTCTCCCCAAAAAGAATAAATTCTGTCAGCAGACAACCTTCATATCTGAATTTCAACACTGTCTTTTCCTTGGGTCTCTGATGTACCATCCCAAACTGCTGATTTTGGACTTACCAAACTCTATAATCACATGAGCTAATTCCTTAAATAAATATTCCTCTCTGAATGAGTGTAAGAACTAACTAAATTACTTCTATTTCTCCAGAGATCCCTGACTAATACGGTTATACAAGTTCTTAGACTTGACACAAAAGCAAGATCCATAAAAGAAAAATTACTAAGCTGGACATCAACAAAATTAAAAATGTCTGTTCTACAAAAGAACCTATTGAGAAAACAAAAAGCTACACCTTGGGAGAAAATATATGCAAACCATATATTTGACAATTGAGTAGTACACAACTCACAACCTAGATTATATAAAAAATTGCCCCAATTCAACAATAGAAAAACAACTAGTCCAATTAGAAAATGGTCAAAAGACATGAAGAGATATTTCAATTAAAAGGATATATTGATGGCAAATAAGCACATAAAAAGATGTTCAACAGCTTTAGTCATTAGGGAAATGCACATTAAAAGTCACAAAATAGCATTACAAACTTATCAGTGGCTAAGATAAAAAATAGTGACACCAAATGTTAAGTATGCTGACAAAATGAATCACATACACTGCTGGTAGAAATCTGAAATAGCACAACCATTGGAAAACAGTTTGGTAGTTTCTTAAAAAACTTAACATTCAACTATCATGCTATTAGCTATTATAGTATGTCCTCACTTAAGGTTGATATTCTTAGAAACTGCGACTTTAAATCAAAAAAAAAGTATAATAAATCCAAGTCCTTAAATAACGTACCCTTCAACATCAGTATGTATTTCTTTCTTCTCACCAACATTATAATGAAAGGGCGTTGGAACAAAACATGTTTCAAGACCTACTGTAAATTCCTGGGTATTTATGGCAAAGAAAAAAAGAGCTATGTAGACACACACACACACACACACACACAAAAACCTGGTGCAGAAATATTTCTATGTGTTTATACACAAACACAGAGAGAGAGAGAGAGAGAGAGAGAGAGAGAGAGGTGTATGCAAGTCAACAAAAGGAATCCTAGGTAATCTTCACCACCAGCGACTGGAAAAATAAACTATGGTACAGTGTACCACAAAATACCAGTCAACAACAAAAAAGTAAATAATGACACACATACAATCTGGATCAAAATATTGATAATTATGCTGAATGAAAAAGTCAATCCCAAAAGGTTATTAGCATATGGTTCCAGTTATTTAACATTTAACATTCTTGAAATGGCATAATTATAGAAATAGAGACCATATTATTGGGGCCAGGGGTTAAGAAGGGAGAGAGGGGTGGAAGTGGGTGGAAGTGGGTGTGGCTATAAAAGGGCAACATAAAATCAACAAAAATGGGCAATATATGGGATACCTGTGGTGATGGAAATGTTCAATATCTTATCTGTACCAATGTCAATATCCTAATGTGACACAGTATAGTGTTTTTAAGATGTTACTACTGGAGGTATTATTTCTTATAAATGCTTATGAATCTATAATCATCTCAAAATGAAAAATGTAATTAAAGAACACTAATCAATGGTAATGTAACTCAGAAAAATGAAAATCCCTAGCAGAGACATTGGGGTTGGGTATGTAGATATTGACTGGGAATGGGCACAAGGTTGGTTACAGAGGTGTACAAATAACTACAGGTTTCATGACCTCCAGCACCTAACAAGGCCCCCAATGAACTTCATATCCTGAGATTCACACTCCTGGTTTGTCTCCTCCACAAAGAACAGGGCTGAATTGTATAATTGACTGGATATAACTGTGTGACTTCCAAGATTCAGAAAACAATGCAGCTTCCACCTTGTTCTCTCTTGGATAATCCTTTCTGGGGGAAAGATAGTCATAATGTTCAAGCAGCAGTGAAGAGATACTGCTAGCACAAAGTGAGGCATCTTAGAAGGAGCTACTTCAACCCAGTCCAGTCTTTATTAAGACTGCCACCTCATGAGAGACCTTAAGCCTTTAGAACCATACAACTTTAGAATAAGCTACTTCTGAATTACTGATTTAAACTGTGAGGTAATAAAGGTTTACTTTTTTTAAAGATTAATTTTTATTTATTTACGCATGTAAGAACTGGGGTGCAGGCCAGAGGTGCGGGGGCAGGGGGTAGGAAGATGCACCAGAGACAGAGTGGGGTGCAGAACAGGCAGATCTACTGAAATAGACCAGAATGGGAGCAGCAGGTGAGACAGGAGAGGTCTGCTATGCCCTTGGGTTAACTCCCTGGCCTGGCCAGGGATCAAACTCAAGCTGAAGTGCCTGGTGATAGATAGCTTGATAGTGCTTAGACTTTAACCCCTGCGTCATCAGGGAGGCCCAAAGGTTTACTATTTTAAACCACTAAGTTTGGTAAGCATATAGTAATTACAATAATTAAGCCACTAAGTTTGGTAAGCATATAGTAATTACATATAGTAATCCACTTAACCCTCAAAAACCAGGATCCCCTTTTAAGATGAGGAAACTGAGACACACAAAAATTCAGTAATTTGCCCCAATTATCATACAGTTGGTAAGTGATAGGGAACTACATTCAAATCTAAAGTCAACACTTTTAACTATACTTTTAACTCCCCATGCTGAAGTAGTTTCCATCCCCTAGTTTTTATTTTTGCTGTGAAATAGAAGGCAAGGTTAACTGATAAAAGAGCAAGGGAAAAGCAACTGAATCAGATAACTGAAGAAAATGGGAAAGGTTTGAAACAGTTGCCATGAGAAGTTAGGAAGAGGACTGGCTAGAGAAACCTTATAGAATTTTCAGTATTAAGGAGCCAAGAGAGATATGAAGCCATGACCCTCATCGCAATGAATTTAAGATGACCATAATGAAGAGAACATAGGACTGCTGGTATCCCTAAATACAAAATGCGATTTGAAGAGTGAAATCTACCAGTTATGGTGATGGATGGATGGAAGAAAACATGTGTATTTCCAAAGTCCCAACAGTTCAGTATACAGAATAATTCCAAGGGCCTCTCTGGTGGCATAGGGGTTAAGTCTCAGCGATATCACATTAAAGGCCCAAGTTCGATCCTGGCCAGGGAGCTAACACACGTATGGCACACAGACCTCTCCTGTCTCACCTGCTGCTCCCTTTAGCAGTGTATTTCAGTAGATCTTCCTATACTGCTCCCCACTCTCTCTCCCCCCACCACTGGCCTACGCCCCAGTTCTTCTATGCAAAAATAATTTTTTTTTTTAAATTTCAAGAAAACTATGTATATTCTATGTTACAGTATCACATAAACACTGGGGAAAAGAAACCCTGCTAAAGTCAGAAAAATAAACTACTTCATGTCTGTCTTAATCTCAAGTCACAGAAGTGTTTCTAGAGATCGTTCCCTTTTTCCTATTTCAATTCAAAACATCACAAGAAAAATGACAAACTCCAGAAAAAAAAAATACTATTTCTATTACAATAAGATCACACCTAAGAGCAGCCTCACAATTATTCACTGACTCAACTTGATGAATAAATCTTAAAACAAAGCTTTAGACAAAAAAAATTATATCTATCCTTTTAAAATTGACTTTTCCAAATTTCAAGTTTCAGTTTCACACATGTACTTTTAAAATCACTTTACTTACAAAATGGGATAAATTAATCTCAATAAAATTAGGTATTGAAAAAAAGAAATCAAATCACAGACTCATTAAATTTTTTTTGACACATTAAATTTTTTCCGAGCTAACATTCAATGCAAGCAAGTATGGACACTTAAGCACTTAAGACACAAACATGCATGAAAGGAGGTAAACGTTTTGCATGCTAGATATACATATATATGTATACATTATTTTTTAATATTCAAGGTTAATAAATAAGTTTCAAAAAACAATAGTTAGCAATTAAAATTCTAATGACATCTTTCCTCATATCTCCATTATTATCTGAAGATACAAGTCAAAATGAATACATGTAAAAACAAACTGAGTAAAAAGAAAAAATTACCAATGAGTAAATTAAGTAAATCCTTTCTACTTTATGCATCATCAACAGAGAGGAAAAAAAACAATCCACGCTTAAAGTTGTCCTAAAGTGGTACAAGAGAATTTTGGAAACCATAATGTGAACCTTTATGAACACAAGTAATTTCATAGTCTCCATCTCTTTAAATCAGGATAGAACACATGTATTCTGAATACAAAAAAAATCTTAACTTTTATAGAGATTTTCATTAAAATAAAATCGATAATTAATATTTTTATTAAGTTGGTACAAGTGTTTCATCATTCCATTTTTCAATCTTACCCTTATCTGTTCAGTAGAGCTGCTGCTAAGTTCATCTCCAGATTCCGAATCCTGGTGTATTCTTTCTGAACTTTCACCTGCTGAATCACAAGATTGTTCCTGGGAGAAGCTAGTTTTCTCTATGTCTAAGAACTCAGGACCAGGAAAGTGACCAAATAAGCGTGTCCTATTCTGGCTTGCAACTTTAGGCGAATGTGAATCACTATTAAACTTTCCATTATTATGGGTCAGGTCCAGACTCAGGTTGAGAGTCTGACCTGGAATATAATTGGGTCCAAAATTCTGATTGGCATCACGAATAAGACCTGTTCCTTGAAGAGATGACGATGGCTTTCCAAAACTTGAAAGCTCAGGCAATTTGTTCACATTTTCTGTTGATCTCTGAAGATGTAGACTCTGCATCATTTTCATAGAATTACTTGACAGTCCAAATGCCTGCTTAACAGGTGGCATTAGAGCTTTGCGGGTGACCTCTTTAACATACTGGGCTGGCACATAAAACGCTTTGGAATTCTCATCTGGTTTGACTTGCCACCAGTCATCATTGGTCTTTTTCACCAAGATATAGCGTTCCCCTTGTTTTATCACAATTTTTCTGTCTTTTGCTTCATATTCATAATCATATTCCACTTCAATATACACTTGTCCTGGAAGAATCTTCCCACTTCTGTCAGCCATTTTTATTCAATAATATTCACCTCTCAAAAAGGATGGTATGCCACATTATGGCTTATTGGACTGATACAGCTATTTTTATTTAAATGAAGGAAGAGAATGAAAAAAAAGTTAACATAGTCTGGACTTTTTAGTATTTATTCACAAACACATTTAATACGAACCATTCAAAATCCCAAACCCTGGAATGTAAACATGTGTCTAATATCATACAGATTGTCCTACATTAAAAACACTCTCATTTTAACCATAATCTACATCTTTTCAGTCATTTATGACCAAAACAAAACCAATGACTATAACTCCAACAGACACAATGCTATCAAAAATAAGAGGTGACATGAACTTTCCTTTTTTCCACGACTATCTCAAGATTCTTTCACTTTCTTAGAAAAGTTCACTAATAATAACCAACATGTAGTAGGCACTTACCAAGGTCTGGGCATTCAGCTAGGTTCACTGTATCCCATATTTATGATCCCTTTCAAGTTAGAGCTGAATTTCAATGTCCTTGAATTTCAATAATTTTTTTTTTTTTAAATGATCAAGGGCATCAATGAACTCTTCTTAAAGGTATACAGGTTATACAAGTTTAGCTTTAGTACCTCATAGAACATTGCATTCAAGCCTCAAAATAATCATAACATCCAAATACTGCTACAACATAAGTACGAAAGTGGTTACTGGGAGATGAATTAAGTTGCCTGAAAAAGTGTGTTAAGTTCTAACCCCAGGACCTGTGAATGTGACCTTGTTTGGGAACAGAGTATTTGCATATGTAGTCAATTTGAGGTGAGATCATACTTGATTAGGGTGGGCCAGAAAGCCAATGAATGGTGTCTTTATAAAGACGGGAGATTTGATGATAAAGTGAGGGAAAAAAAACAGAGGAAGAGAGCACATTAAGACAGAGGCAGAAATGGAAATGTGAGTATGGCAGCTGCAAGTCAGGGAATACCAAGGACCGCCAGCACCCACAAGAAACTAGGAAGAGGCAAGGAAGGATTCTCCCCTAGATTTTCAGAAAGAGCAACAACACTGCTAATAATCTTTATTTTGGACATCTGCAGAGCTGTGTGAGAATAAATTTCTGCAAGTCACCCCAGTTTGTAGCACTGTTACAACAGCCCTAAGTGTTAAGCCCTAAGTCATAACACTCAGCTCAAGGATCTGAAGGCAATCTAAGCAATTCAACATACTGAGCTGTACGAGAAATGTTTACCCAAGTTCCCATGACAACCTGCCAATTTTCCTCAGCACCCAAGTGCTGGACATAAAATTACTGTACCCTATAGTTGTAGTAATAATCCCCCAAGCACTAGATTCTTCTCTGTACAGATAAAAAGCCTTCAATAAACCCAGGTGATAAATAAGTGATACAACTTCCAGAATTTACTTTCTAGATAAATTACTTGAATAATAAATTTAATACAGTAATGTGTTTCAAAAAAAATTAAAATCTTACCTTAGAAGGAGACATATACATCCAGCATTACACTTAAACCTATAAAAAAAAAAGTGCATTAAATTTAACTAGGACCACTTATAGGCTAAGAATATAATACTGCTTTCAGTTTTAAAAGCATAACTTTTTATAATACCTATGAGGAACACAGTACAATTTTATTTCTCACAATTGTGTTCTCACATGTTGTATCCAAACATGTACAAACACAAGGTATGCTCTACCACTATCCTCTCCCATTTCACTTCCACACTGTCTCACCTTCATTTCTCCTGCTTATTTTTATTTTTTTAAAACTTCTAATAATGTGAGAAACAACTTTCGCAAAGTTGCTAAAATGACAAGACTTTTTCAAATTTATGGTATTAAGTAGGTAAAGACAATGAAAATCAGTGTTAAAGTTGTTGGGAGGGGGCTCCCTGATGGCATAAAGGGTTGAGCACAGACAGCACTGTGAAGCTATCCGCAGGCTTTGCAGCACAAGTTCAATGCATGGCCGGCCAGGGAACCACCCAAAAGGTGCAGCAGACCTCTCCTGTCTCACCTGCTGCTCCCCTCAGCAGTATATTTCAGTCAGTCTGCCTGTTCTATTTCCCACTCTGTCTCTGGTGAATCCTCTCACCCACTGCATCTCTGGCCTGTATCCCAGTTCTTGTATGCATAAATAAATTAATCTTAAAAAAGTTGTTGGGAGGAGCCTCTCTGGTGGCACAAGGGGTTAAGTGTCAGCACTATCAAGATATCAGCAGCCACTGTGGTATGAGTTCAATCCCAGGCCAGGGAGCTGCAACCCATACGCTGCAGCAGACCTCTCCTGTCTCGCCCACTGTTCCCCTCAGCAGTGTATTTCAGTAGATCCACCTGCTCTGCTCCCCACTCTGTCTCTAGTGAATCCTCTCACCCCCCACACCTCTTGCCTACACCCCCGTTCTTGTATGCATAAATAAATCTTTAAAAAAATAAAGTTGTTGGGAGTCCTAACATATTATCTACTAACTATAAACAGGAAAATACACCTTTACAATGGAGAGATCTGAGAGTTATAAGCTTAATCATAACCAACAATGGGAGACCATGATGATACATGCCTCTTAATGTGATGCAGCAAGATGTACACAATTGCACATATGCTGTATTCTTATCAAAACACATTGATGCTTTATGATTAAGCTAATTAAATCCAGAATGTAAGGCATACTATTGAACAGCAGACTTGAACTATTAAAAAATTTTCGTAACAATGAAAGCAGAAAGGAGATTCTTCTAGATTAAACAAGATTTTGGCACAATAAGCCAAATCCCTAGGTGTTCTAATAGATACTTCAAACTTATCTATGAAAAATCTACTTCCTATCTTATCTCTGCCCTACCCCAGTCCTGCGAAATCTTCATGATCTTTCCCTTCACAGTAAATAGAAATTCTACCCTCCTAAGTATCCACCCTTTACATTCATGTAGCACCTCTGTGATAAAACACAATGCATCATTGTGCTTTAATAATTTTACCTACATAAGTCTTTTGCTGTAACTTTTCAAAATTCCATACTGAAATATTTATCTCCTCAGGTGATTTTTTTTTTTCTTGCCAAGAAGTAATAAAATAGCCCTTAGAAATACCTCTGAAGATACAGAACAAGTAAGGGAACATGTAGACAGTTACAGCAGGTCAGGAATGGAGAAAAGTACTAAGAATAACAAGTAAACTATATGATTTCATACTACTAGGAGAGGTACTATGGGGTGGGGAGTAACAATAGGTTAAAGGCCAGTCCACGTTAAGTCTCTCACTCCCAGACTTTATGACAACACTCCCCAGTGACTACAAAGATAAATATGGGGGAGGAGCTAAGGAGAAAGATAAAGAAGTCAGTTTCACTATGCTCAACATCCAAGCTAAAGTTTTAGTTAAAGTCAATGAGAACTGGTCAGACAAGGAAGATCCACATCTTTCTGGACAAGTTAGATGCCATAACGTCTATACAGAAAAGGCAGATGACATGAGCAAGAGTGGGTACAATGCAAAGAGAACAGTGGTTGAGATAAATTTCTAATTAATATGGGGCGGGAATGGGGAATAAACCTGGGAAGCCCCTAAGACTATTAAAACTACAAACTTCTAGAAAGACAGGGAGCAGGAATTATGGGTTATATTCCCAAAGCCTGGGAAAAGTTACAATAAAATCAAAAAGAAAAGCTTTTATTACCAACTATGGATTCAAAGAAAACTCAAATAGTTATAGGGTATCTCTAAAAACTTAAACCTAAGTGAAAATTATCTGCAAATGTGTGCATACTTTAAGCTACCTATTTTTAGTTTAAACCATAAACTGTATTAAAACAAAGATATAGTTTTAATTTTCACTTGTTTGAAGCACAACACTGCTCTAACTGAAATATATTCTATATTCATCACCACACTTCTCCGTCATTCATCTCACAACCATCAAGTACTCCAATCACTAGAATATATAAAGTTTTGCATAGTCACAGTTAAGTACGAACCACTGTTTCTCTGCAGTTTCAAAAATACCCAGGAAGGCTTTTCATGCCTCTTGCCAGTCCTCTTCATCATGTTCAACAAGACAGACATACACATAGACACACAAACACATCAACTACTTACACATCTTTTACTTTTCTTACATCATGTCAAATTCAGAAATTTCTATTATGATATTTTAAAATCTAATAGCCTCCTCCTTTCTGTCTGCCAATTTTTCTTCCCTACCACAAATTACACAGCTCAGCGAATGTTATCTTCCTCCCCCAGGACATCTGTTTTAATCAACTACATCTCTCAGCATGATGCCCTTATTAGGTCTATCTAAAAAAGTAAATACGTAAACAAAATCTTGAGAACTAAAGTAAATGTATTATAATCAATGAACTTTTTCTTTAAGTTCAATACATATTTATACAATGTATTTAGCAATTCTAATAGCAGGAACAATGTTATTATAGCCTCAAACATATGTTAACCAACTTAAAGATATCATAATTTAAACACTGATTCTAGACATGAAGTCCTCCAAGTAGTTTTAAAAGTACTTATTTAAAACTAACAATCTCTAAACAGCCTTCTTCTAAAGAAATCAATTAAATCCAGTGTGCACAGTGAAAAGAACAATTCGAGCATTAAGAGATTATTTCCCCAAATAATTTTGTAACATTTACCCTTGTTAAGAAATCAGAAACTACTATAGGGCATTAAAAGTTTTATTTCTAATATATGGCCCCTGTTTTCTGAGAATAAAAAGGCATACAATATAAGAAAAACTAAAATAGGAAAACTGAGTGATTAATACTATAAACTATTCTGGCCACAAATAGCAAAAAAAGAAAGAAATAGCATATAGGATACAGGAAATAATCGGATAACTGGAAAGCACTGGGAACACAGTCAAGTGTAAACTAGTAAAGGAAATTCAAAACCAAGATTTAAATGTGAAACAAAAATGAGGAAACAACAAAGGATGTATTTGGGGAAGCAAGCTTACTTTAACAAAAATGACATTTGCTTAGGGTGCTTTAGAAAAATTTCTACCATGAAGTCTTAGAACTGGAGTGGAATTAATTAATGACATTTTCCTGTATTATTACAATGGTGAAAATATTCCAATTTAAAAAGAAAAATGATCCTGCTGATAACAATGAGTTTTTAGATATACCATGAAATGAACAATCCATGAAAAAAAATTAAATAGGATTCTACTAAAATTAAAAATTTCTGGGCCTCCCCGGTGGCGCAGCGGTTGAGCGCTGGGTTGCGAAGCTGCCCGCGGCCTCTGCGGCGCCGGTTCGATCCCCGGCTGCTTCCCAGCCACCGGAGGAGGGTCCCGCATGGCGCACAGACCTCTCCTGCCGCCCGCTGCTCCCCTCAGCAGTGTACTTCGGTCCTTCTGCCTGTTCTGCTCCCCGCTCTGGCTCTGGTGAATTCTCTCACCCTCCCGCGCTTCTGACTGTACCCAGTGCATGTATAAACAAAACAAACAAAGAAAGAAAGAAAGAAAGAAAACATGCCTCTATAAAAAAAAATAAAAAAATTAAAAAATAAAATTAAATTAAATTAAATTAAAAATTTCTTCTCTGTGAAAGACACCACTATTAGAGAATGAAAATAGAGGGTAGGGGAATAGAAGAGAATGAAAACACAAACCACAGACAAGAAGAAATTATTTGCAAAACGCATACCTGATTAAGGACTTGTATCCAAAATATATAAAGAACTCTTAAGACTCAACGAAAAGAACCAAACTTTCTAAATGGTAAAAGGAGCTTTACGACACATCATGAAAGAAAATGTACAGATGGCAAATAAGCATATGAAAATTTGCTCAACATCAAGATATTAGGGAACTGCAAAATGAAACAGGGAGGAATATCACAGAGCAGTGAATAGAGGCCTTTGCCCCTGCCCCTACGTACATGCAGGCACCCTGGACTACAATTCCCAGCATGCCATACTGAATGGGGGCAGCTGGGCAGGTGGATAAACAAATTGAGGTAGAAGGAGGAATGGGGAGACACATGGAGAAGAGACATGTGGAAGAGACACTTGGAAAAGAAATGTGGGTGAGAGACATGTGGAGAGGCTGCTCCTGATCCTTTTTCGTGACAATGGCAGCCGTTTCCTTAACCTTATGGTGGATTATATGGTACATTTTGAATTTCGGATCTCTCTCTCTGTACCAGCTCTCTGGGATCTACCCAACCCATTTCTTGTGGTTCCCTGCCAGAAACTTAGACTTGTGGCCAAGTTTTTGGACCTCAGCCACCCCACTTTGGTCTGAGCCTGGGCTGGGCTTGTTCCACAAGGGGACAAGTAATTTTCGGAGTTTGACTGGCAATCTTTCATTTGAAATCCTTTCTCTCTCATGTGTGCTGTAAGCAAACCAGGTAAAGATCTTTCACATTGAGAGCCTGCTTTCTTTGCCTTTGTGCATGTAGATTTAAAAACCCTTTCAGAACCCTAAAGTTTGGGTTCCAGTATCCTTCAGTGATGTGGTTTGAATTTCACTGCACACCCATTAAAGTGGATA